GTATGACATTAACTAAGATCTGCCCGCCAGTCAGGAAGGACCCTTGTCCAACATTTGTTTTTCTTTTCCTTATTTCTTAATGGATAAGACAGATTTCGTGAAGACACACAGTTTGGGGTAGTGATTAAGAATAACTTCTGGATCAGGTTCAGACTGCTTCTGTTCAAACCGCGACTCCATCCCTCTTACACTCTTTACTTTTTTCCTCCTCATCTGTAAAATAAGGGTGATAATAATGCCATTTCATACTGATGTGGTGAGAATTAAATGAAGATAATATGAATGATGCACTTTAGCACAGTGCTTGGCACAGAATATGTGCGTGGTAAAATAAACTATTGTTTTTCTTATCTTGTTGTAATTTGGACTATTAGAGTTTAAAGGAGGCTTAGATGGAGATCGTCCGTTTGAACTCACTCATTTTACAAATGAGGAACATGAGACCCAAAGATGTTAAATAGCTTGACAAGTGCACGTAACTAGTTGGTGTCAGAAACAAGCCTAGAATTGAGTTAACACAATTCAGACAATGTTTACTATGCTATGTGTACCCACTGCCAGTGCAGTGGACATTTTATTCTAGAGTAGATAGCATTAAGTAACTCCTCGCTATAGGTCTGGCTTTGAACTTTTCTTTTCAAGCCCCTTTAGGCTTAGTACACACTTAAGTTCTTTATCTTTCTTCAGAGTCTGCCTGTTCTTTACTAGCTTCTGAGATTTTTTTTTAGGACAAAGCCAAAGTCTGATCCACAGGCCTTGCACATGATTGACGCTTGAAACATACCTGTTAAAAACAACAAAATTCTACCAAAGCATGTTTCCACAAGGGCAGCTTTCAGATACAAACTGAGCAGATGTCATTTTTAAAAAGATAGCCTAGGTAATACTTCCTCCATTAAACTTCTTGATTCTTTTGCAGCTTTGTTTTTAGGAAATTTATCTCAGTGCTTCAAGGCACAAATATTTTTCTTTGTAGGTTGTGGTGTCCCATATTTACTCTAATAACCCTTCTCCCCTTTACTCAGGTGCTAAAAGCTGTATTTTATGGTATGATTTAAGGATAGAGACCATTTAAGAAATCATTGAATTCTTCTCTAGTGGTGAAGTGGATCCTAATTCTTGATTCTAGTCCTTCTTCTTGGCTCCTCACCAGCTATGTTCCTCTGAAGTTAGTTATCCTTTGGAAGGAGGGAAATGAACTTGTATTGAGCATCAGTTATGTTCTAGATGTTTTCATAAATATGAATTTATTTCAGCTTTATAACATCTTTAAAAGGTGTTTTTTTTAATAGATGAAAAACTGAGAAAAGTAGTGTTCTTAGGAACATACAGCAAAGAGAAGGTCTGGGAAGGGTTTAGTCAGGTGTGCCTGACTTTCTAAGTCACAGTTTTCCCACTATTATTACATGGCTTCTGTGGGCCTCAGTACCATGGTCTGTAAAATGAGGGGGTCCCTAGGGATAATCTTTTTAGGGGTTTTACCCACCAACAGTTCTAAACATTAAATCTAGTAGAACTTTAAAGTTCTATATCCTCCTTCATCTAAGTTGCCAGGATCCCCATCAAGATAATATGTTGGAGTCCCCTGGATCACCTTACTTCTTAGATTCCTTCTAGCTGTAAGACTAAGCTTTGAAAATCAGTAGCATTAAATGTTTCAGAGGCCTTTGCTTTGTTAACTACTTCTAAGTAAAGTGAGCATGTAAATTTTCTTGAGATCTGCTTGAGAGATTATTTACTGGTAATTTGCCCAACTAATCTGTATAGTATTTCTAATTCAGAAGAAATCACAGCTGAACCAGGTTAGACTTCCTGATTCTTCCTGCACTAATAGGGAAAGATCAGCCTAAAATGTATAAATTATGTTTTGTTTTGAAGATCAAAGGGGAAATTGGGCCTTAAGTTAGAGAAAAGGAAGATAGTTGTAATGATGCTTTTATTCCTGTTGTGTATTATGCTACTTGCCTATAAAAGTAAACATCTTTTTTGTCACATGTTTACAGTTCACACCTATGGTGACAATACAATGGAGCATTTTAGTTACTTATTCAACAGATATTTGTTGGCTTTACACTGTGTAAAACACCTGTCTAATGTATCCAGCTGTTTATTGTGTGTCTAAGAAAATGTACTACGTTTTTGCTGTCCTCACGACTTCTTAGATGTGGGATATATTTCAGAGACTCTTACTGTAGCTCTTGACCTAAAGATGACCCTTTTTGTATGCATTTTATCGCTCTTCAAGACCTGTCATTTTTATGTTAGAATCTGTATCGCACTGGAGCCCAACATGGAGTCCAACATGGTGTTCAGTAGATATAGCCGAATGAATGCATGAATACACACATACAAGATGCTACAGAGCTCTTGGTGATCATATACATAAGAAGACATGTAATTTCTCATCCAGTCGAGACACTTTTGAGAGTGGAAGGCCATGCTATTAGAGTTTTGCTGGGACTGTCCTGGTCTAACTGGGATAGGTGACAGCATTGGTGGCCTTTGGAGTCACGGCCCAGGATGAGACAGCTAAGAGTCACTTCTGTTGAGGAGCGTGTAATGTAAATCTGCCTCAGGCAGCAGAGCCCAGGAGTCATCTAATGGCATCTAATATTTCATTTTATTTCACTTATTTTCTTATTCCCTGCCTACCTTAAGAAATTATTTGAATTGATTTATAGTAAATAATACATGCAATAGAATGATGATTGCAAAACATTAATGATAAGGTGAGCAGATGTATCTGCCTGAGATTCCATGTAGTTGATTCTTTCAGTGTGAAGCGGAGAACTGAGGAATGTTATAATACTGTGTGAATTTTGTGATTTATGGAGTTGGAGGCAGTCACTTAACCGTCACTAACTGAAGAGAACAGTTTCCCCTCTTTATTCCAGTGATATGCTTATTAAATTACCAAGTCAAGTGTCCAGTAGGAAGCTGGGTTTGGAGTTCCAGGGTCGGGTCAGTGCTGTAGATAGAAATTTAGGAATGACTGGCAAACATGTAGCTTATTTTTAAAGAGAATGGTGTTGACAATCTGCAAAACTCTTAGCCTCCACTTCTTTTAGGAGGGTTTTTCATATGCTTGCTTCCCTAGCTCATTCCGAGTCTCTGATGCCATCTCTTACCAAGCACCTAACTAGAAAACTGAAGTGTGAGGACACTTCTATGTGTAGCGTGGGAGACTGCAGATAATAATACAAACTTAGAATTGTTGAGTGCTTGCCCGTGACAGATTCTGTTTTCATTGCTTTACGTGCATTAGCTCATTTACTCTTCATAAGTACACCATGAGGTAGTTAACTATTGTTGTCCCCATTTTATAGATGAGGAAATTGAGGTACTAAGTGGTTACGTCATTTTCCCAGGGGTTTTTTTTTTGGTAAATGAGGAGACCGTCATTCTTAGGCAGGCAATCTGAAACCAGTCTGTGCATTTATATTTCTCATAGATAAGTATTCTAATTATCAATGGTAAGAGTCTCATTGCTAAAATAACAATCCTTTATCAATTTAAAGAGGCCCATACCTTATAAACCCTTCTGTTTATATGCATCATTCTGATCAAATTGTGTCTATTAACCCCTTATCTGCTTAACTTTACTCTTCTAAAGTACATTGATTACTTGGATACAAATAAGTAGGTTATATTATTGGACTCTGAGAACCATCTCTTTGCCAGGAACTCAAACTTGATGCTGGAGCTCAAGGCTTAAATGCCTGGCTGTCTTCATGAAGTCTTTACTTATTTCATAGGAATGTCAAATGCAGATGAGACCCAGTTATTCCCAAACCTGCTTTTTCTTCAGACTTCCCTATCTCAGTAAATTAAATCACCAACTACCCAATTTCACACAGACCTGGGAAATTCTGACTTATTTATTTCCTTCTCCCCTGACATCTGATCTATCAACTCTTGTGTCTACCTCCAAAATATATTCTAAAACTTTTTTTTTTTCCATTTCCCCTTTCCCCTTTTTTGGTAAATCCATCAGAGCACGTTATCATCCTTCCTTTCCTTAACTGTTGCAGTAAACTAACAGTGTTTCCAGTTTCCAGCTTGCCCCTCTATGGACTGCTCTTCACTCAGCATCCAGAGTAACCCTTTTAAAACAGAAATCAGATCATGTTCCCTCCATTGGCTTCCCCCAACACACAGAATAAAACCTAGACTGCTTATCACGGCCGGCCTCTGCCAGGTCTCCTACTCCTTACTCCCCTCCACTTTACGCTGTCTCAACACACCGGCCTTCGTGCTGTCTTGTCAGCAGGCTGGCCTCATTCTGTTTTATGCTTTTGCAGTAGCTGTTCCTTCTCCTTTCTGGGCTGTCCTTCTGAATTTCAAATGACAAGCCTTTTAATATTAAGATCTCAGTTCAAGTATCACCAAACAATCAGCCAGTCTGGATTAATTCTATTAATTATCACTCTATGGTAATTATCAGCAGAGCACTTATCACCATCTTTTTTCCTTGTTAAATTATTACCGTCTCCTCATACTAGAATGCAAGCTCCATGTGAGCAGGGATTTGTTTATCTTGTTCTTTCCTATATCCTCAGGGCCTAAAGTAGTATCTGGGCACACCAGCACACGTATTTAGTATTTGTTCATTAAATAATTAATTTGTTGATTGAGTAATTAATTGCATAGCTACATCTTGGAGACCTCAACATAGGAATTGCACATCTAAAGAAATTTGGTCCATGAGAAGAGTTGTCAAAATCCTGCCTAGGCTTTTGACAGAATTGGCAGATGCTGTTTTTCTCTTTTAAAAACATGTTAGAAATCCTTGTTGTACAACTGTACAACATTTTATTCTAACCATATTTGGATTTAGTTTTATAAATTATCTCTTGCAAGGGGACAGCAGACATTTGCTTTGTAAATGAGCCAGTAATCCCTACATGTGACAGCTTTTGACACCTAGAATCAATATCATTTTGTTTGCAATTGCTGAAATGATCATTGTAAATTTTTTTGTAATATTTTATAGTGTCTCCTTCAAATCATGTTGCTTTATCTATGCTGAATTCCTTTTCGAAATGATGAAGTAGGGGGATTGTCTACTTCAAACCTGAATCTTTCCTTCTAACCTGAATAACTCAGGTTTTTGGTTTTTTCCCCTTTTTCACACCCAAGTTAGGCCTTTACAATATCAGTTTTGCCTGTAGGCAGATATGCATAGTAGATGTTGTAAAGCAGTGCCTCTGCATATAAAACTCAGACTTGGAATATTTACAGTAGATTTTGATAACATAGAACAGAGAATCAACTCAGGGCATGCATGTCATTTTCAAAATAATTTATTGAGTTCTCACACTTGGCCCTATTTTAGACACTTGTAATCAAATTAGAGGGGAAAAATAATCTTCTTACATTAAGGGATTTATACATTGATATGGTTCAATCAAAATTCAAATAACATTATTTTAAGACACATGTTCAGGGGCAAAAAAAATGGGCAGGATACATTTTAAAAGGAAGATGGTGAATAGAGAGGGGCTGCCACATTATTAGTCATTGTTCTGAACTTGAAGACTATAACATATGGGTCTACAGATAACCTTCATTGTCTAATTTTACTTTACTGTATATGTTAGATAGGACAAGGGTCTCAAGGTCTGGGCCATTCTTACTAAATGCTGTTCTTGCTAACTGTTAAAATGTAGCACAGTATTTTGCAAACCAGCTATAAATAGGATAAGCTTAATAGGAGCCCACCCTGATAAGTATAGCCAACTGCCAAGAAGAAAGCAACATGTAAAATTGACAAAATAGTGTATATATACAACGGCTAAGCCTCACTTCGGGGAGGCAAACGTTTGGATACGAACACCCTGTCTCTTTGTCTCACTGGAAGTAGATAAAACTACCTTGCAACATCCATGTCTCGTTTTTGAATAGAGAGCACCCCCAGTGGCGAACCCCTTGAGTTTGGTAACATAAACAATTTCTATGATTCTTGAAAATGATTAAACAAGTCCTTGACAACAATTATGAATGCTTAAAGGTACAATTTACACAAATTTCTGCAAATCACATGTACAGTGTAGTTGTTATAATTTTGCTAAATGTCTAGGAATCTCTTCAAAAATACCAGGAATTTGGAAGGCCTAGAAATATTTCCATTTCCTTCCTCAGATTCAACAATAACACATTATTTTGTGGCACAAATTTTTTGATCTGTTCTGATGTTTTTTAGTTGAATACTTTAATGTGTTCATAGAATTACATATACATTTGCTAACTATATCACAAACAGCTTGAAATACAGTTTCCCCATTTTCATCAGCTTTCATAGAATTCTTAATTGAATTATTGCTATTTACTAGTATTATTAGCAATTGCTAGGGTTGCTTTTAAAAATTAATTGATTAAATGTTTCTTAAGATCTTGTTCCTGAGTAACTTGTTAGTCTAGGTCACACTAGAGCAGAGGTCAGCAAACATTTTTTTCAAAAGGCCAGATAGTATATATTTTAGGCTTTGCTGGCCAGATGTTTAGTGCTGCATCTACTTGACTCTGCCATTCTAACAAAAATGTAATCACAAACAATAAATATGTTAACAAACAAGTGTGACTATGTTCCCATAGAAATTTATCTATGGGCAATGAAATTTGAATTTCATGTAATTTTCACATTTCAGAAAATTTTCTTCTTTTGAGGATCAGATAGTAGGCCAAATTTGTGCCCTCGACCCAGAGTCTGATGCCAAGTTGCATGGCACATTGTCCTCTGGAAAAGGAGAAATTTAAACATACCACAGAAAGAATTGTGTTGTATGTCAGTTACGCCATTGCTCAGTCCATAATTATCAGTGATATATTGGAACAGTCACATTCCTGTTAAAATCAGATACAGGAACACTTTGGAGATATTGCAGGTTCAGTTGCAGACCATCACAATAAAGCAAGTATTCCAATAAGGTGCGTCTGTTGGAGGAGCTTGCCTTCAATTTGGAAAAATACCCGTCTGTATACCTGTGCTTTATTTCAAACAGTGACCAAGGAAAATAGTTCAGAAATCACTGAACCTAAATATTGAGTTGGCCAAAAAGTCCATTTTGTATTATACATTGCTTCAAATAAGTATGGTTTTGGTTGGTAATCCTTTTGTTAAAATAGACTTTGTGAGTTCAAAGACTTTAAACAAAAAAAAGACTTTTAATGGGATCAGAACTGTATTATCATTTAAAGGTGGATTTCTACTGCTTACTATAGAAGTGTTGCTATTTTCCTACCTTTTTTTAGTACTTTGTACAATATCTTGTCCCTCCTTTCTTTCTTGAGCTTGAACTTGCACCAGCTTGCCGTGAAAATATATTTTAGGGAGTCTCCTGACACAGGAGAAAACAATTTTGGAATCTCCAACATAAAATATATCTTGTGCTCCTCTTCAAGGTAAAATGTCCCCAGGGTATTTGTATTTGCTGATACTGTTATTGGTGCTTGGCTTTTCCTGTTTTATGCTTCTTTTCAGTCTCTTGCTTTCTACTAGCAACCAGCAGGTCCGGCGTTTTTGTTTTTGTTTTTTCTTTCCATTAGTATAACTATCAGTGCTGAATGTTACCCAGCTTTTCCTGACCCCATCATACAACATCGCCATCTCTTAGGACATCTTCTCACTTATGTCTTGACTGAATAGCTCTTCTCTCCTTCTTTACGCATCCTCTGTTCACTTAACATTACCTGATTATGTCAAGCACAGTCCTAAGTTCCCTACACAGTGTTTTCCCACCGCACTGCCCACCTGTTACTGCCCTGCACTTCCCTCTGAATTGTCTTTTGTATTATTTTTGATGTCACAGGTTCATCGCCTTCTTTTGTAGCCCATCTCTTTCCACTATTCTCTTACTGATTTCCTTTATCTTAGACTTCCCACTCTGACTTTTAATTCACCTGGCCTTTCACCCTTTCCCTCTGCCATTTGCCTTCTGGGACTACTGCCCATTATCCCTCTCTCTTGCTTGCATAGCTGAATGCTGCCAATGCTTCCAGTCCTTTTCCTCCTCTAAATAAGAGGCAGGAGAGGCATTAATGCATTGGAGTTGGCTTGACTGGATGAGTGTGGGGAATTGCAGTTTCTTTGCTCCCTGCCCTATTCGCTCCATCTTGTGACAGCGGTGAATTTAGCCATGAGGATTTCTTCCAAGATCATGCCTCCAGTTTTCCATGCAGGATCACAGAGAACATTAGATCATGCTCTTTATATTTTTTTTTTCTGACTGAAGCTTTATAAGATATAACTATCTCTCATATCAAAAATGCTTTGTCTTAAAACATCATTGTATTTCTCTGTACACACTGAATTGCAGACACATCTTTTTTTTTTATTCAATGAGAGAGTTTCCAGTGTGATGAAAAGAATTACTTTAGCTTACTGCCAGGGAACTGAGTTCTACCTTGCAGATGACTGGTTGAATTCAGCATTTGGTACTTGGACATGCTCATGGGTAATCAAAACTGGAAGAAACGTGAAGAATTGTTCAGCTCTTCTGTTTTACATATGAGAAACTCCAAGCCTCAACTAATGAATGCCAAGCTCAGTGTCAAATGAGTGAAAAACTAAGGCTGGAATTTGAGTCTCCTGATGCCAAGTTTTGGTTTAATCAGTTGATTTTTCTATAGCATTGATTCAGAGAAGAGCTGTTGATTAAAGAGTGCCCTATGAAATAATAATTTTTTTTAACACTCAGGACAATGATTCACATCTCCCTAAAATATCTCAATATTATTGAACTTTGACTCTCAAATGTCCTAACTGCTTATACAATAGAAAGGACGAATACCAGTTTAAAATGGTTTGCCTTACAAGCATATGATTGCCTTACAGTATGATTCCATGGCCTGGTATATACAGGGGGAGCAACTTAATGGAAAAACGGGATTAAGTATCAGAAGTCAAGTGTGCACAGTGCACCAGCGATTATCAGGTAGACCACACAAAGGATGTATTCAGCTATTACTTACTTTTGTTGTTCTTTTCCTCCTTGTAACTAAGAATTACCACTTACTTTTTTTCCCCTAAGGCTCGTAAAAAAAATCATTGTTTTAGACCTTACATGTGATTTTAATTGCCCCCTCATTTTGATGGAAATAATATTACTTTCTTGAAGCAGATTAGGAATTCTCACCAGCACATCTTCTTAACAGAATATGATTCAACAAAGTTCTGTGAAAAGAAGGATTACTTCTGGGTTCACCAAAGAACTTTTGAACTATTCTAGTGAATTCAGTCCTATCCCAGTGTAATGTAGATAGTCCCAACTTTGGGTTGGATTACAGTAGGATGAGGATTTGAGGGGCATGTGTAGGCCAGTGATTGTGTGTATATGCACTCGCACATATACATATAAAAATAATTGTAGATGGGCCGCTCTTTCAGTGTGGTGTTCACCAGGTCCAGCCACCTAGGTATAAACTCTCTGTCATTTTGCTGCTTCACCATTTCCTGGAGAGATGGCTTTTCCTCTTTGGCCTTCCATAGTGGTAATTTCAGCTTTCCAGGTGTTTCTGTAGATGAATTTATCCAGGCAGTGCACTGGCACAACTTACCTTTTGCCTCCCATGTGGAGGAAAGTGTTGGAGGTTACCGTCCTTATGATGTGTAGCTTTCCATAACCAGTGTGGTGAACAGGCTTATCCATTGGCCCTGGAGGAGGTTTAGGGGAAAGCTTACTGATGCCTGTAGATCTTGGTTTAGGGATCCGTGTTGGGATTCTCTGCTTGCTTACCTCCTTGATCTTAAATTAAACAGAAGAACAAAAGGTAGTTAATGGTACAGTTGGTGGAGAAGCAGACATTTTCAGGACATGAAGTCAGCTTGGGGGATTTGGCTTCTTTGAAAGCACTGGGTTCTAGGGACACATCAGATTAAAGATTGTCAGGTTGGGGAAAAAAACAGAAAACTTCAGTGAAGCAATTCTGCCAACATGTGTTGAGTGTGTACTATGTGCAAAACACTCAACAGTCTATCTAGTACTAAATACAGAGATAAATAGGTTATTTTTCTTGCTTTTTGGCAACCACTGTATTGTGGGAGGAGACAAACAAGAATAGTGTCCCAAAGGGTCATGAGGTTGCCAGAGGAAGGTTCATTTAACTGAGGGTTCTAAGAGAGCTTCATGAAGAAAATAGCACTACGTGACATGGGCCTCCGAAGGCTTTTGGATTTTTAACAGCAGGAATGGGAGGGCATTTCAGAATAAGGAAATACTTTTGACCATAGGATAAAGGAATGCTCTTGGCAATATCCCTGGGGTAGGAAATTGGACACAGTTGAGAAATGAGGTGACTTCACCTTATGTTTTATCTGAGAAGAGGAATGGGAATGTAGATGGGGGCCAGGTGGGAAAGATTGTACTGACTCTATAGATAGTGGGTAAGTGGTGCCGGGGAGCTGCTGGGCGGTTAATAAGGGCAAAGGTTGGAGGAAGACACATTGTAGAGATAGACTAGTATTAATATTTGTTCACTATTCATGTAATGAGTGAGAGAGGACTCATAGCTAAATGGTCTGGGCTGGAAAAGTAGGTTATGAAGTGTGAAGAGTGAAGACTTGGTGGAGTTCATATTCACTTAGAAATATACTTATTTATTAAGGAAAACTACTCTTGGATAAAAGCACTTATTGTTAAAGAGATAGGAAAAGCTAACTGTAGTTCTTCCATTATAATCCACAGTTGATTGTTATCATTATTTCCCCCTTTGGTTGCATTGTCCTTTCCTTGCTGTGAGCTCAAAAATATAAATCTTTTAAAAATGCATTTTAGTTTTCCTCACAGATTTCTACTACTGTTTTTATGGGAGCCCTTCTTATATTGTTTTTCGTTTTCACATTTTATTGTACTGATAAAGTACAGTAGTGAAGTCCCTTTATCTCTTTATGTAAGCATTCACTTATTTAAAGTGCGACCTAATTTTTATAGGAACCATATTTAGATTTTCCAACAAACTACACAGACTTGGTTAAAAATATGAATCTTGCAATTAAGGATAAACTGTACGGGTACTATGATTTCTGTCAGTACATTAATTAGCATAGCCAATGAGACGTTGATACCCTGATTCAGTCTCCTTATATAAGTAGTATTTGGTATTCCTACCTTTCATCCTGACCTCATGGTCTCATCTTCAGTGCCGAAAAGCTCATTCAGTGTTTTTACCTCTTACAGGCAATGTTTTTTGGGTTTTTTCTTAAAGAATCAAACTCAAAGCCTAGTAATGGTTTGGTGAGATGGGTAGTGTCTTGATGATTAGGCGAGTAGGTTAGTTGCATGTATCAAGATCCCTAAAACTCACATCCACCTTGTGACTCATTTATTTTGTTCCTAGGAATTTTCCCTAGGAAATAATCAGAGATACTCACAAGGCTCATTTTAACATTATAACAATGAAAGATGGATACAGTTTAAGACTCCAACAATCAGGCTGGAATAAATGAATTATGCCATGATCATATGAAAATATTATGCTGTTTTTGAATAAATGATGCTTTTGAAGAAAAACAAAGTATTTTTTCAGAAATGTTAAAAGCAGGATTAAAAACCATATACATGCTTCAAATATGTATGTGTGAAGAAGAAATACTGGGGAACGTCCACCAGCGCCATCAGTGGTTAACTCTGGTTAGTAGTTATAGATTTTTATTTCTCTTACATTTTTTGTATTGTCTATATTTGATATAATAAGTATGTAATTAGAAAAGGCACCACTAAGTTATATTAATAGATAACGAAGGAAGGAAACACTTCAGAGATCAGAACATTTCTGAGAACATCAATCATATTGTTGAAACCATGTGCAGTAGCAGCTGCAGTTGAAATTAGCGGTGGACTAATCAAGTCAGCTGACTTTGTGAGCATAGCATTAAGGATAGCCCTTCTAAGATAGGCTTCTGTGATTTTTTAAATTTTGTCAAGATTATATTAGTTCTGCCTATTTAATATACAAAAATCTATGTTGGGATTCTACTTAAATTGTAAATTGCTGGGTCTTCCTCTTAGAAATTATAATTCGCTTGTCTATGGATATGACTAGTAATCCGCATTTTAATAAACTTCCAGGGTGATTCATCTGATACAGGTGGTCAGCCTGCCACACTTTGAGAAACACTTGCATGGAACCTCCTTTAGACATAAGCTTTAAGTTTTCTTTCACCTAGACCTCTGGCCTACCTGGGATGTGGGATGTGGGAGACTTAACACTGTGAAAGGCCAAGGCTTGCTGGCCCCATGGTTTCCTAGATGCTTATCAGAACCACACATGGGGCCTTCAGAAGACTGCAGATACGCAGACCACATATCAGAACCTACTGACTTGCATTGTCTAGGGGATATGGGCATGTGAACTTGTAATGAGCACCATAGGTTATTCAGGACTGAAATCGGTCTGATAAACCAATTGGCAGGGAACACAGTATCGATGGGATTTGTTTTTTTAAAGCTATACTAACACATGTTAGTGAACACTGCAGCTTACTTGATATAGTGGTCATTGTTAGGGTCAGCTGTCCAAAAGTTATTGGTTTCCCATTGTTTATACACCATTGAAGCTGCAAGTTCATTTTTTTTTTTTGATAACTGATTTCACTACATAGTTTTTACCGTTAGATGGCAGCAGAGGCTGGTTATTTTATTAGAATAACCCTAAATGTCATTCCCAAATCTTAAAAAAAAATGATGCTGGGATTTTTCTGTTTGTTTGTTTTTGTTTTCTTGTTTGAATTTTATACTTGGAAATGTTTCAGTAAATGAGGTATGGACCTTTAAAATATGTCATCTCCTGGACCATTTGTATGGAACATTATGTCAAATAGCTCCAAAAAAGTTTTATCTCAGTTCTTTCAATATGTAGAGAGCATATTGAAAGAGGAATCCATCCATGCGGCTCTTTTAAGACCACACAGTGAATGTTCTACTCAGAGTTGGAGACTCCTGGGTTTCATTAGAAAGCAGATGTCTTGGAGGGGATTAAGGAAGTTGGAAAGCTCATTCACAGAAGAAAAAAAAAATTTTTTTTTAATGTTTAACTCAGTTCAACATGGAAATTGGGATTTGGACTGAATTACATGTCTGAAGGATGCTTAGTTCAATGAGACAGAGGCATTGGTTCTATCCGGAGAGCAGTAGAAAGAAAAGTAGTATATTTGTGGAATGTATTTCTTAAATGCTTAAAATGTTGGCTTATTTGGTCCATAGGTTCTAAAAAGAACTGAGCAACCTACAAGACTTCCTAGTTATAGTAAGTCATTAGATGGCAGTTTTAGTGACCAAAAGAAGTACAGAAAGGTGAAGATATTTTCAGTTTTATTCGAAGTCTTCTCTATCTTGTTTTCTACTTGATCCTTGTACTCTTTCACATTATTATGGAGGGCAAACATCTGAAAATATACTAGAACAAAATCAGCATTTATGAGGAAGGTATCAGATCCTAGTTAAACAGCTGCAGTCAGGATGTTTCCTTTTTTTTCCCTAAATGAAATTAATTTTGTAAGCTCTTTGAACTTTTGGAGATGTATTGGCAACATATTGCGTAAGAAGGCAGCATTCCCTCAGGAGTGTTCCTGACTCCAGGGGCGGCAGGGCCCTCATTACAACTTTAGCTCTAGAGATTGAAAGACTCAAAGACTCCTACAAAGATCAGATAATTTTGATTTGCGGTCATTGGGGTGGTGCAGAGGAGGGGGCAGATTCAGAGCCTCCTGACTCCCTCAGGGACCCTGCTGTGGGACGCTTGGTCGAAGCTGAGTGTTATCAGAATGACAGTCTTTTGTATTTTTGTTTTTGTAAATCTCTGCTTAATGGGGAAGTGCCTAAATAATGATGATGGATATGGTAATGAAAGGAGGAAATGTAAACTAGAAAAAAAAGATCTTTGAAATATTATTTCTTCTTTTGTCTTTTGTATTGTTTAATAAATCACTGCTAATTTGTAAAAAAAAAAAAAAAGGGGTGGGGGGGTGGAATAACAAATAATGAATCTGGCAGATAGCCCAGAATATTATATGCTTTGGCTTTTTTCTCTTGATTTTCTCAGAATTTCTTCATTATACAGTCAAACTTTATCACTAAATACTTTATAGCTTTGTATGGCAAGAGGCCCTTCAAAAGGAAACTGTAGTTTGATTAGCTCAGTCCCATTAACCTCCTGTGAGAGCGCATTTGGTTTTAAATATTGTTACAGTGCTATGATTTATATTTAAGAGTTGTCTGGTTTCTGAGGTGAAGGTTAGAGGAAATTGATTGCTCTGAAAAATAATGTAACATAGTTTGTTATTGTATCTATTCACCTCTCTGTGGTAATTACATCGTGGGCACAGAGAGCAATCCAAGAATAAACATTGAAATACAGTGTTGAGAAATCCTTTCTAACCGCAGTTGTTCCATTTTGTGCCCAGACACATAGCATCACATGTAGAAATAGTATGTTAAAATAAAGTATACTAACCTTGAAATGTCTTCCTTGTTTTCTGCCCTTTTTATCTGTCAGGTTTTTCATCTTAACTTTCTTATTGTATCCTCCCCCTTATTTTTTTTATACCTTCATTTGTACCCATTTACCTTGTAAAAATCATTTGCAGGCTTACCTTTTACAACATCCTCGGGTTAGTGACTAGAGCACAGGCTGCAGAGCCAAATAGACTTCGACCTTCATTCTGGTTCTGGCACCAACTAGCTGTGTGTCCTTGAACAAGTCAGTTAGCCTATGCAGACCTCTGTTTCCTGTCTGTAGTCTGTATCTG